TTAGGAATGTTTGAACTGCTGACTTGGGCAGAAATATACTGAAATATACTGAGTTTAAGCTCTTGATCCATACTAGACTTGGACTCAAAGTCTGATTCTGTCCTTGTTAGCTGTGGGAATTTGAGGAAATTACTCACCCTTTCTGAGCTTCAGTTTTCCCACCTGTAATAGAGAGGACGGATAACAGTAATAACAGTAGCTACACGAAAGAGCTGCTGTGTGGATTATGTAAAATTGTATGCATATAAAGAGCACTTAGTACAAAGGTAGCATGCTGTAAACACTCAACAAACGTTAAATAACGTTTAAATAACAAACGTTAAACCTTCTAATTATTTGTAGGTTAGAAGTATAAACCATAAGCTGTAGCACTTTTCTAAATGCTTTACCCTTTTTTTTTTTTGACACAGAGTCTAAAGCGAATGCCCTTGGTAGAGTGCTGAGGAGTCACAGCTCACAGCAACCTCAAACTCTTGGGCTCAAACGCTTCTCTTGCCTTAGCCTCCCAAATAGCTGGGACTACAGGAGCCTGCCACAACACCCAGCTATTTTTTTTTTTGTAGTTCTCATTATTGTTTGGCAGGCAGGGGCCGGGTTTGAACCCGCCAGCCCTGTGTATGTGGCTGGCACCCTAGCCACTGAGCTACAGGCACCAAGCCCTACATGCTTTGCCTTTAATGATTCAGTAACTCTTCACAACCCTTGAGGTGGTTACTATTAACCCCATTTTACAGTTAAGGAAACTGGGGGACCAGAGTGATTCAGTGATTTACCTGATGTCATGGAACTAGAGAGTGGCAGAACCAGGACCCAGCCTGGCAGTTGGTTTCAGAGCCCATTCACACAACCATTGTGAAATGCTGCCTTTGCCCTAAAAATGGGCTGTACCCATTTCCCATAGTCACTCCTGGAAAGTTCAGGATGTTTTGCCGTCACTTGACTTTGTCTTGTGGCAGGTTAACATGATGTTTTGGTCCATTGCAAATAAATGACTTAGTTTAAGTAAAAGAGCTTAAAATTGTTTCGAGAAGAAACATTTATACTTGTTATTTCCTGTTATGGATTTTGGTTCTTGAAGCCTGAGCTAATACCTTCAATCTGCTGATGATACTGGAAATGATGTGACTATGAGACCCCAAAGGTGTGTATTTGGGCGCATTTCAGTCATGCATTTTTCACTTTTTATTCTATTGTTTAGTTACCTGCAGACAAATCTGGTGACTTCCTCAATTTGCCCAAGATGCCTGAGCCAAGGAAAATGCAGGTTTATGGATGTGTAGATGTATGCTTTTTGCACATATCCCAAATGTGTCTCTCTTTAAGTAAGAGGAATGTGTGGGGAATGAGGCTACAATATTCTCATAGGATTGGGGTCATAAGTCCTGTGTAAACTAAGAGTCAATACTATCAACAATAGCTTGAACAGTAGAAGTGTTCTTAAATATGTGCAGTGTTCACAGATGACAAACCTCACCTTTTAATATTTTTTCCTATTCCTTTTTTTACTGACCTCTGATTTCACCACCTACCCCTCCTTGAAATTGTTTTGTTTTCTTGAGATAGAGTCTCCCTAGGTCACACTCAGTAGAGTGCCCTGGCGTCACACCTCATAGCAACCTCAAACTCTTGGGCTTAAGCAGTCCTCATGCCTCAGCCTCCCAAGTAGCTGAGACTATGGGTGCCTGCCACAATGCCTGGAGATTTTTTGGTTGTAGTTGTCATTGTTGTTTAGCAGGGCTGGGCTGAGTTTGAGCCTGCCAGCCCTGGTGTATGTGGCCAGCACCAGTGAGCTATGGGTGCCAAGCCTGAAATTAATTTTGATTCATTTCCCACTCCTGACTTCTCATATCACTTAACTGCTGACGTCACACACTTGGCACTTATTTACATTTTACTCTTTATGGGTATCTTCTTGTATTCTTCATTTCCACTAGTTGAGTGATTGTTAACAAGATAAAGGAGGGTAAACTAATTGCAAGACAAAATGGCAAACATAGGCCATATTTAACGACTCTTTGTTAAATCTAAGGAAGTGCGTTTTGCATACGAAGCAAGAATATAGTCATTATGAATGTTCCTCTCTAATTATGAAAAGCCAGTTTCCGAAGGATCTGTTCTTAGTATTTGTAGCACAATGTTGTAGAATGATTTCTGAGGGCCCAAAGTCCCGGAATTCTACCAAGTGACCTCGGACAAATTATTTAACCACTCTGAATCTACAATGCTTTCAACCCTAAAATGACGTGTTGAATCAGAGATCAACGCTGCAGGCTGAAAGTTTGTTTCTCTGTAAAATTTATATGTTGAAATTCCAACCACCAAGGTGATGAGTATTAGGAGGTGAGGCCTTTGGGGAGTTATTAGGTCACCATGTTGGAGCCCTCTGAATGGTATTAATGCCTTTCTGAAAGCGGCTGGAGGGAGCTTAGTTGTCCCTTCTGTCACGTGAAGTGACAGTGAGAAGAGGTCTGTCTATGAGGAATGGACCCTCACACAACACTAAATCTGATATCACCTAGATATTGGACTTCTCAATCTCCAGTGCTTTGAGTTATAAATATCTGCTGCATATAAGCCAAATAGTCTATGTATTTTGTTATAGCAGCTCAGATTAACTAAGAGAAGATCCTTTGAGGATGACAAAATTGGGAAGATTTTAGGAGTCTACTTTGGATTATTTTTATAGTTGAAGTAAAAGAACATTTTGTGCCCCAATACAATGGAAAAATGTGCTCTATGCCTGCCATAAAAAATGGTGACCTAGTATCTTTTGTGACAACCTGGGTAGAATTGGAAATCATTGTGTTAAGTGAAACATCACATGAATGGAGAGACAAACACATGTACTCAATACCAAATTGGAACTGATCAATCAACACTTAAGTGCCCATATGGAAATAAAACTCAATGAAAATCAAGCTAGGTGGAGGGGAAGGAGAGGATGGGTAAATTCACATCTTTTGGGTATGGTGCACATTATCTGGGTAAAAGGCACACTTATAACTTTGACTCAATCTGTATAAAAACCAAGTATATAAATGAAACATATGTACCCCCTAATATTCTGAAACAAAGAGAACATTTCTTTTAAATTTATATTTCTTTTTCATTTTACTCTAAGCATTATTTTAAAACCAGTTCTGTAATTCAGAAATTTTACTGAAATCAGGCCTTTCCCTATTTTAACATTGTGAGCGTCCTCCATTCCACAGTCATAAATACATAACACAATATGTTTCCTCTGTTTTAAACCTGTATCTAGTTGATACACAGGTATTCAGCCATTATGGTGACTGGACATCTTGAATTTTCTATAATTCCCAATTAAAAATACCTGTTACATATAATATCATATAGGACTAACATCATTTAACATTCAACTGCATTCATATATCTCACTTCATTTTAATTAAAAAAAATGTAGCCAGGAAAAACATAAGTGACCTCTTGTGTTCTACTTATGTAAAAGGTGTTGGTTATTGGGCTATTGGTCAGTAAAAGCTTATTTCTCCGTTTCTGGCTCTGTTGGTAAAATGCAGGGGTTGGTTAGTCAATTCTAAGTCTCTTTCTTCCTTTCCTCAATTGGCATTTTCTCAAATAATTTCTGAGTCATCCCTGGAGGCATCCTGTGAGACAGTATGGCTTGAGCAGCACTGTCAGCAACATCTCTGTGTGGGCGTCTGCTCTGGGGTCCCTCCCTCGGTAGATTGCAGCTAAGAAGGGCTTAAAGATGCGACCTGCCTCTGACAACAATCTCAAAGGAGAAGAGGGCTGTGTGAGGTCTGGGCTAGAACAGGATTTTACATTTCTCTTTGGCCTGGCTTGTCTTTTCCAGATAAGCACAAGACAGCCTTAGAATTCTTGAGCGTATCTGAAACAGAGAGAGGAAAAAACCCAAATCCACTTAAGATTCAGCAGAGAGCTCGGAAACATAAGAGTTCAGGCAAGTTACCACTTGTCAATGACTCTTACATAATAAAAACAGCTTTCGTATTTCTTCGGATTACATAAAGTGTTTGCTTTGAAAAAAGACTGAAATATACGTAAAAATATATTGAGTTAAATAAAAATCATCTGGAATCCCACCACTTCAAGATATCCAATTAACACTTTTATAAACTTACACATACTTCTAGTTAAGCACACACACCACTCATACAGACAGATTTACAGGAATGGGATGTAATAAATGTTGTTTAATTATAAAACCTTTTTAAAAAAGTTACTTCTACTTTTACCCATTACCCTTGATACCCTCTTTCTCAAACAAAGCAAATATTATTAAGTGCCAGGTATGTCTCTTTTATATACTTTAATTGATACAGATACATAAATAGCCATGTATAATCTTATATAATTCTACGTATGCATACATAATGGTATGTGGTATATTATGCCTTTTTACTCAATAATATGCTATAGAGACCCCTCCGAGTCATATGGTATAGCTTTAATTTATTATCTGTTATTAATATCCAAATGTTTCACAGCATGAATATCTCATTATACATTAAACTATTTCCCTTTTCGTGAACACCCACTTTCTCAGTTTTTACCACTCCAAACTGATGAGTTTGTGATGAACAAACACTTGAAATGCTTAGAGTCCCTAAGTTTTACTTTTTCAATTTCTAATCCAGATGGCACTTTTTTTGTCAGTTATTAACTTGCTGTCATGATTGTTTAGAAATTCAATATGACAGCGAGGTCCTCCTTGGAATCCTCCTTCAGGTAAATGAAGGGGTATGTGCGGTTTCTTTCTGTAATTTCAGATAATGACCTTCTCAATATGGTGGTCAGATCATGTTTCCAGCCTCAGGAGCTACGTACTAAGTCATTCCGTTGGGAAACTGTTACTAAAACAGAAAGGTTCTGGGCGGCTGACGTGGCATCACAGTTTACAGTGTCTGCCAGCTGTGAGTAACAGCAGGCTGTCACCATGGGAAATAACAGCAGCAGCAGCAGCAGCAGCAACTCCTGATTTAGGGGCAAAAGATGTAAGTACTTATTTTCACCATTTGCCAATTAACCCAAACCAAACCCAAAGTGAAGAACGCTAAGAGGGAATACAATTCCCACAAAAGACTCTTTTAGCAGATTTATTTGGGAAGAATTTAGTCTTTCTCAGGGTAGAAAGGCATTAAGCCAGCACATGGTTTTCAGCAAAATGAAGAACATCACAGGGTCTTGTTTGAAAAACAACTAACTTCATCTGTGGCAAATGTCACTTTCAAACCCTGACTTGGGGGAATGCCTGCATACCTCTGGCAGGGCTGTCCCCGGGGGATGGAATGTATTGCTATGTGCAAAAGAATGAGTGATTTCAATTTACAAAAAAAATCCTGGGCAGGTTTGATAATGGAAAGATGAAATGAGGCTTAGCAGTGGCAGTGTTTGGGGAGAGGAGAGAGCCTGTTAAATATTTTAAGGAGGACTCAAGTTTGTTAAAGCCGACTTGCAGGCAGTGTGGAAACTTTTGTTCTCAAGCTATAGATGACTAGGGGCACAGTGTCTGCCATGACAAATGAAACCCTGGCATGGATCCTTTTATATATAAGAGGCGGCTCTGTGGCTGCTGTTCCCAAGGCTGCTATCCTGGAAGTCATGTCCAGAGTTTTCTAGTATTTTCTGAGTTCACGACCCATGTGTTTATGGGTTGGTGATTTTTTTTTGCTTTCTGTGGAGACCTTTTACTCTGATGTTCAGCTCTGCATGGAACTTCATAAACGACCAATAGCAATTTAACCTGAATGTAGTTAACTTATTGCAAAGCAGGTATTTTTGATTCCCACCTCTCTGCTGGGGATTCCTAAGTGAATAAGATGGAAGAAAGCCCTGGCCCTGTGGAGCCTGCAGCCCAATGGGAAAAAGATGGTAGGAGAGGAGAAATGAACCCTGGGCTGGGAGTTGGGAGACCTGGATGCAAGTCCTGGCTTTGATCCCAGTGAACCATATGGCACTCTGGGCTTCAGCTTATGTGCTCTAAAACGAGTGCACTGGGATGGATAACCTCTTCAGTAATTGATTGCTCACCTAGTGTGAGTTTCCCTCTTACTGAACAGCTTCTCACATTGAGTTTGTTCCGCATCCAACTTAGGGACAGGCGCTTTATTTATGAAATAGATCTCACATGTCGCCCACCAGACCTTGTTAGATTGTGATATTCTGTGACAGAAACTTGAAGGATCTTCCTAGCTGGGCCCACTTGTCGTTTTGGTAGGAAGAAAGGTTACTTTCAAGAAAGATGTCTTTTTAAAGAAAGAATATTGAATAGTTCATGAATTTGTGTTTCTTCCTTGCTCAGGGGCCATGCTAATCTTCTCTATATCATTCTGATTTTAGCACCTGTGCTGCTAAAGTGAGCACAAGATGGATATGTCTTAAAGGTAGCAATTCTGCATAGACTCAACTTGAGTGCCTAGATTTCTGTTTTCAAGTGGTTACTGATTGGAACAACTGCTGCCGACTTTTGAGGGGCAAAGACACTAAAGCCTGATATTAAGGAAAATGAAATTGCTTAAAATTGGTGTGATCCACAAGCTTAAGGCTGAAAGAAATCTAACTGACTCAAAAAATAAGCCAGACTGTGGTTCCAAATAGCATAGAAAATACTGACCATTGGTGGCTGTGTGGTGTAGCTTCAGCTTCCTGACTGACACTTGTCACCATCAGCTCAGTCATTTTTTTTTAAATACACATCTTTTTTATTTTATTATT